GTCCTAGCAACCATAGCTTTAAACTTCCTTCCAGTTCTACAGTATTTGTGCTCTGCTCCTTCTATTTTCTTCTCTGCCATACTTCCAGTATTACATAAACACTGATATTCTTCTGTTAAAATTTCCTTTTGTGTGAGTATTGCAAAATCTTTCTTCCTCTTGACAAATAGCACGATGGAGGGCCTTTATAAATGACAACATCTCTCCTTCCCTTCATGTGGGTGTTGACATTTTTTTGGAGCTGCCAGAGATGATCTTGCAAACATATATTTACTGAAGCTTTTTAAAAAGTGAATGATTAATAAACAAGGGGAGTTTTAAAATCAAGTAAAATGGGAAGGAGGGGAATTCATTTGCTTCCAAGCTGTAGTGATTTGCATTTGAAAGTGATTCTTTCACTTACATGTGATTGACAAGTAAAACCTTGAAAAATATGGTACTTATAATGGAAAGATTTGTATTGATTCTAACCACAGCTTTTGAAAGCAGGTGGATTATACTGCCTGGGGGTGGGGCAGGGAAAAGCAGAGCTCCAATTGGGATGCAACTAAGGTACCAAGCAAAGTTAGCTGAAAAACTAGGTGTGAATGGGCTGCATTGTTTTGAAAGGAATTTTGAAATTCTAAGTCAAATCTACCAAGATCTAAGTGTGATGGGGCCAGTTGCATTTTATTTGCTCACATTCCTGCTCATGCACTAAAACCAAAGTGGAGAGGACCTTCTCTCAAAAGCAGGATGATTTCTGGGGAGCAACCACTCCCTTGCCTTAACTGTGCCATGTTCCATTTCTCCCATTACTTTGACTGGCTTCTGGTATGGATGCCCTTCAGATGTCTTTGATATCAACTCATGGATCTCTTGCCAGCTCCCATTACTATGAACAGCAATTAAATGAATAGAGAGATAGTCAAGCTTTATAGGTCATGAAGACAGCAAATGATTGCATTTCAGAAGTAAGATAAATGCAACCTTGTATTGAGCTTGATTCCTGGTGACTCCATGAATGTGCCCACATAGGTTTTGGGGCAACATTATGAAATTTGTCGTCTGCAAATTTGATGAGTTCCCCATCTATCCCCTCATCCAAATCATTGATGAAGATGTTGACATTTTCTTTCAAAAAAAAGGGAAAAAAATGGATCCAGAAAACTACAGACCTATCAGCCTGACCTCAATATCTAGGAAGATTCTGGAAAAGATAATCAAACAATGAATCAGCGAACAGCTAGAGGCAAACAAAGTCATTACCAAAAGCCATCATGCATTTGTTAAAAACAGATCATGCCAGACAAATCTTATTGCATTCTTTGCCAGGTGACAAAATTAGTGGACCAGAGGAATGCTGTGGATATAATTTACTTCAGTAAGGCATTTGATAAAGTAGATCACAATCTACTACTTGATAAGATAGAAAAATGTGGATTAGACAGCATCACCACCAGATGAATTCGTAGCTGGCTGACTGGCCGTACTCGGCGTGTGGTCCTCAATGGAACTGCATCTACATGGAGGGAAGTGGGGTGCCCCAGGGCTCTGTTCTTCAACATCTTCATCAATGATTTGGATGAGGGGATAGATGGAGAACTCATCAAATTTGCAGATGACACCAAGCTGGCAGGAATAGCCAACACTCCAGAAGATAGGCTTAAGTTACAGAAGGATCTTGACAGACTTGAACATTGGGCACTACGGGGGTTGGACTAGATGACCTCTAAGGTCCCAACTTTATTATTATTATTATAAAGGGGCTAGGTACTGTCCTCTTACAAGATTTTTCCCTTTCCAATCTTGCCTATAGCCCTAGGATTTTTCTAGTAGTGTCCCAGTCTACAGCTAGCTCTGTATAACTTTTGAACTCAGCTAAGGTTGCTAGGTGCTAGTATCTGCTGTGACTTTTTAGGAGGTAGAATGTTAAACTGTATGTAACCGAAGAAAAGGCACTCAGTTCTTCCATATTTTTATTAATGACTTGGATGAAGAGGTTGAAGGTATATCAATTGTCACAAAATTGTGTGAGATGGCTAATATCCTAGAAATAAGATTCAGTGTGATCTTGAAAGGTTAGAGAAATAGGCTGAAAGTAACAGAATGAAATTTAACAAATGCAAATGGCTTATCAGAACCAGCAACCATCCAGGTATAGAATGGAGCTCATTTTTGCTTTGGTAATGGTATGTATGGAAAAGGTCTTGGAAAGTCACCTCTGTAATTTGGCAACTGCATGAGGTAGCACTGGTGGCAGACCCTTAGACCGAATGGATATTTCTCTGGCATGATGTTGCAGCTGTCAAGGGCAGCCATGTGATCCTGGGAAAAGATGCAGCTGCTTTTATCATTGCCAACGTGTACAAGATGAGCATTGCATGCTCCAAAGCACAGCACTCAAAGTAGCCTGTTATTTACAGAGATGTGCAGAATGCGGCCTTGCATCGGACTAGAGCAGGAATGCACTGCATATCAACCTAGACAATTTTAAGACGTGGATTTCAACTCCCAGAAATCCCTAGCTGGTCATGCTGCTGGGGAACTCTGGGAGTTGTAATCCGTATGCCTTAAAGTTGGCAAGGTTAAGAAACATAGATTTAGAATATAAACTAGTCCTGATTAGATAATGTTGACATAATGATCTGGCTGATGTACTGGTTTAGCAACAGATAGATATTTAAACCCACATAACAAGCAAGTGCATGCAACATACTATGTCAACCCTTTGAAATAGTTTAGGTCATGAAACAGACTCTACAGGTTTGTCTATTATGCTTTATTGCTATAGGCTCTTTTAATTACCTCTCTCTCTTAAGCCCCAGGGAATTAGGATGCAACAGTCTGAGTTTCTTTATTTTTATTCATTTCCTGGGGTTAAAACATGTCTTTTTTATTGTTGCTGCATAGTTTCTTGAAGGTCATCTCTGTAGTGCTCTATGCATGTAATCACAGACTGTAAGGGCTGGACAGGAACTGGGAGATAATTTAATACAGTTCCTACCCAGTGCAAGAATATATTTCCACAATAATGGTATGGCTAACCAATCTCTGCTTAACTCTTCCAGCAAAGGTGTGTGCATTACTTCCTAGGGTGGTCTGTTTCACCGTTAAACAACTTTTATCAATTTTTTTCCTGATGTCCCACCAAAACCTACTGCCTTATAAGCTATTGTTTCTTGCCCTATCTTAGAGAAAAATTCTTAAGAGATTTTCCCATCTTCATATGCATGAAAGCCTCAAATACCAACAGCTATCAAGCCTTTCCATCTTTTTTTTCCCAAAGCTAAAACATACTGAAATGCTTCTAAAAGTTCATTGTGTTTTCCTTCCTGGCTCCTTATCACCTTGATTGCTGTCCTCTGGACATGCTCCAGTTTGTTAGTGACGCTCAGTACTGGATGCAATATTTTAGGTATGGGCTTACCAACACAGAATAGAAATGAATAATAATTGTTATTGATCTTGGCTCAGTATTTCAGTTGATGCTACCGAGGCTTGGTTTTGGTTTGCAGTTGCATAACACTGTTGGGTCATTTTTAGTTTGGGATCCACCAAGACAGTCAGATCCTTTTTTGTTTTTTTAAATTTTTTATTGATTTTTTTAATGCAATTCAAAAGAAGAAATAGAATATTTTCAAACTTGGGACTTATTTTATCAATGGCCGTAGAAAAGAATAGGGGATTAGGAATCCAATTTGTATTAGTGAATGATATACTCAGACAACATGTTTGTTGAATAAGTACTTTTGAATAGTAGTAGTAGTAGTAGTAGTAGTAGTAGTAGTAGTAGTAGTGATGATGATGATGATGATGATGATGATGATGAAGGGTCTAGGTAGTTGAGGGCCCCATTATTATTGTTGCATCTTACATCCTGGTCAAAAAGGGCAATGTCTAGATTGTTTGTTCAGCATAACAATTAACAACATATTTCACAATAATATACTGTATTTGCTGTTTCCTTTTCTTTGTATTCTTATCCAGATGCTCTCATCTGGACCCTCAAATTACATTCAAATTCCTGGATCTTAATATATAACATTTATTTCCTTCACATATAATGCCAGTATTCCTCACTTTCCTTTTGTCTGGCTTGCTTCTTTTATATAAATTATATTCATCAGTCTTTGTATTCTATTAGTGAGTTTCATTCTACCAGTTATCAGTAAAGTGTATTAAACGTCTTAATCTTTAAGCAGATATCATGTGAATCCAGCTATTATGGTTTATAAACCATCGTTAGATAAATCATGACTTAATACAAAATATGAGTCTATTCAGTATCAATTGTTAATGTCAGTTGAATTACATCTGTGCAAGGGCTGTCATAATCTCAGCTGCTTGGCTGCAAATAACTTTGTTCTACAAATGCTGCAGGCAACCTGGATTCATAATAGGAGTTGACAGCTTGGGTGACTTAATAGGTTGTATCCATAAAGATAGGCATAGCAAGAAATAGTTTGATGCTTAGAAGTTTTGTTTTGTTCCTCCTGCAAGATTTTAACAAGATGTTGATCTAGGTACTTTATCTTTTTCTTTTATCAAATAGTGATACAAAACTATTGAGTATTCCATTGATTTGTATTCAGGATTTATTCCAGCTGTTTTGATTTAGCTGTGCTTGCCACTTAGGATGAATCTTCCATATTAATCTAACCATAAGTGCCTCCTGTCTCCTTATTATCTACATAGATGTGCAATAACCCATCAAGATAGCTTGTTAGCACCTTTCTGGATTTGCAAGGGTTTGACTCTAGAACCTTTCATATGTGTGGTGAGATTTACAAGCATTTTTCATAATCATTCTTTACTATTACTTTGATGCTTTTAAGGTAAAATCAAATACTGCCCGGGGTCTTCTTTTTCTTGGTTCTATCTTCTTAGCTTGATTTAGTGATTGACAAAGATGGTTGTTAAGAAGAACAGATGACTCAAACTAATTCCTTGTAATGCTTATTCTGTAGCTCACAGAGCATTGAATCTGATACACTGGCAAAGAGGAACAGCTGGAATTTATGACCATCACAGGTTTTGCTCATTAAATATATGAAAGTATGGCTTCAGAGGATGTCCTAAGCTTCTTCCAGCCATTTTCCTCCTGGATATCTCGAGTCTATGAGGCTTTACAGCAAGCAGGGGAATCCTTATCTTCTTCTTTGAATAATCTGGGAAGCAAACCAGATCAAAATGGATTTGATGGGAAAGATGAGGATTTAGAAGACAGTGATGGGCTTTATGAACGCTACTCTATAGGTTCTGATGATGACAGTACTTCAAGTCAGGAGAGTGAGGAATCTCATCATTCTTCATCGTCCTGTCAAGATCTTGCTTCACCTGAATCATCAGATCTTGATTTGTATTGGCCTGAGCAGAAAAGAACCATCCCTGACTCCTCAGAGGAGTGCCTTGAGGATTCCTCCCTTGGAGTCTACCAAAGTTACAAGAGTTATCAAGCTATGGAAACTCTCCCCACTATCCCTGAGGAGGAGGAACATCTCCACTCCAAGCAAATTAAGAGCCTTTCATGTAGCTGGGATGGTAAGTTTTTACTCTCCTTTGACAGCATTGCACTTGCTTGTGTAGATGATCTTCCATCTGCAAGACTGATCATCTGTACCTTTAGACAGGCTTCATGTTCTGAATTTTGAGAAGCAGAGGTTAAGAGTTCAGTTTTTCAGTGCACCTTACACCCTACAATTTGAAACTATACAAGAAATGGGCAATTTTTTTTCAGAAAAACCCTGGGCTACCTTGAAAAATGTTTATGATCCAAAAATATTTGGAAGATCTTGTATACTCTTTGAGCTATTATAAGGCTTTGAAAGAAAATTCCCGTTTATCAATTTGCTATGAAGGAAATTAATCTATCAGGTTATAGACCAAACGTTGTGCCTCTTCTCTTCTTGCAACATTTAGTGAAGATCAGGATATCCTGTGTGCAAGTCTCACAGCAGACAATTAACTTCATATTAGACCCTTTACAATGGGACCTAAGGGGCTTAATTTTCACTTTCTTATCTTACCAAGGCTTGGGGCTGGGAGGGTCTAAGCTGGGAATGGCTTGGATTGGGGTTGGTCCTTGCCTAATGATCTGTGGGATTCAGTTAATGATGGCAATTGGAACTACCAGAATTGTCATCACTTAGCGATGCAAATTCTAGTTGTAACTTGAGGCTATTTGTATACACAAAATCTTAGGACTTCAGAGCACAGACTGGAGGAGAAACTAAGAAATATGTTGCATTCTCTGTGTTGCCCTCTGTATTGTATGTAAATATACTTATGTTATACATGTTTTTTGGGAGTGGACTTCAAATACTGCTTATCAGGTAGACATTCAGTGACAGTTATGAAAAACATCTTTAGAGAGCCTTGCCCAAAGCAGTTTTAGAGACTTTTGCTTCTCAGATTTGCTTCTCATTTTGCAAAATGTTTTCAAAGAAAAAACCCAAGAAAGTACAGTTGCCTTTTGGAAAAAGCACTTTTGGGTCTACCTGTATCCACATGGATAATATACCTGACTTAAATTGCTTCTATTTGAAGTTCTAGGTGCTTTTAAGAGATAATCCTTAAGTATGCAATCACTGCTAATTAAGCCCTGTTTATTAGTATATTGAACATAAATATATATCCATTTTCAACTCTGATGGAATACTCCTACAATTTTGATACCTTCAAAAAACAATTTCCATTTTTTAAATCTTCCATCATAGAAGTACTTTTCAATTATCACTTGTTATTCCGTGTTTGTAGTACTAGAGACTGGACTTCCTTTCATAGCAT